AAGTCCCCAGAACATTCCCAAGCATCTCCACCCTTGTTTTGGATTCCATCCCACTTCCCCGGCCCTGGAATGGGTTCACCACCTCACTATCACTATCTTGGCCCAGGTACAATGACATCTCTACCTGGAAGACTTCCAATCGTGCTCTATATAGATACATTTTCTCCTTCTCCTGAATTCTGAAATAATTTAACCTGTAGTTCTGTAATGGAAGAAAAAAAACTGAATTCACTGTGTGTGGCATGCATCACGCTAGGCTGCTTTCACAACATTGTCCCATTTGATCCTTACAACTATCTGTGAGATAAGCGACACAACTTTTTTGTTTGATAAGGAAAACGAGAACTAAAGACATGAGGTAACTGTGCCAGGGTCACAGAGCTGGTATCAGTGGCAGAACATTACAGAATTGACGGATTCTGGGGAAGCGTCTGCACAGCAGGGAGCCCCACATAAAGGTCTCCATGGGTGCCTTTGAATAAAATGGCAACTCGGTGACAGAAAGCCATTTTCTCAATACTGAAAAATGTCTTCCTGTGGGTCCTGATATACTTTCTCCTCACCTCCCACTACCATGTACCCTTGGCTATAAGAGCAATGAACACTTGGCAAGTTCCTTAAAAATGGCTACCTTTGGCAGGACAACTATTAATTACACTTGCCCCCAGAAGATCCTGTCACAAGACACACGGGAAGTAAAACTCCATTTTCCCCAAAATGAGTATGTTGCTCTCCTGTGAGACCATGGGGAGTCTGTAAAGTAGGTGAGAACCAAGTGCTTTAGTGGCCTTTCTCCTCTGGGGGAATGAGTCTTTTCAAGGTCACTTTCCCAGCACCAAGGCTGGACAGGTGAAACCCTGCGTCTGAGTGTGGGACTCATGCTGTAATAATTTCTTCACCACATTCCCCACCCGGGCTCTTGTAATTGTGAGCACCAGTACCCATGGGCACATTCACATGGACGCTGACTGCAAACAATAACACGGCTTCACATTGGGGCACTTGGGTAGCTCAGTCCGTTAAACGGTTATCTCTTGGTTTTGCCTCTGGTCATGACCTCAGAGCCCTGGGACTGAGCCCTGTGTCAGGCTCCATGCTCAGTGAGGAGTCTGCTTGAGGATTCTATCTCTTTACCTCTGCCCTTCCCTCTCCCCTCTCTAATAAATAAATAAATCTTAAAAGAAGAAGAAGAAGAAGAAGATGATGATTATCATCCTGCAGGAGCCAAGAAACAAAGAACTAACTGCCTAGAAGCCTTGGATGGCACCTGTATCCTAGACGAGGGCAATGGATTCAGCATTTGCCTCGGATTGCTCCTGGAGATCTCAGCCCGCAACGGTAATGCAACGTCTAGCAAGAGGTAGTGGTAAACATACAATGCAGACAGCGAGCAGACAAAAATGGCCAGCTGCTAGAAGATTCTTCAGTTGACATGGAAAGCATTCAAAGAAGGTAACAAAAACCATGTAAAATTTAATATCACATTTTATAAAATCCAATGAGATGTGTATATATTGATGTACAACAAAGACTGCAAGATTATACCCCAAAGTGTCATTTTCTAGATCTCTGGGGTGGAATAAGAGGAGATTTTTTTATGTTTTTCTGTACTTCCCAGATTTCTTTTTTTTTTTTAAGTTATATTTTTTAATAGTGTCCATCACTGCACAGGTTACAATTTTTTTTTCCCCCAGGGTGAGAACTTTTAAGACCTAGTCTCTTGGCAACTTTCAAATATACAGTATTACTAACTATAGTTGCCAGACTGTTCTTTAAATCTCTAAGACTTATTTATTTTATAACTGAAAGTTTGTACCTTTTAACTCCCTTCACACATTCCAAAATTTCTACAGTGAATACTTACAGCTTTTATACTGGGGGCAGGGGGGCACGGGGATAAAAAAGGAAAGAAGAATGGAGAAGAAAGCATATGATTGGTGAATTTTACTAATGGGAATAAGATACCTGCTTTTATTCGCATGGGGGTAGAGAGGGCTGATCGCACAAAGGGGATGAGGGTCCTCATTTGCAACCATCCAAAGAAAAAAAAAAAAAGGAGACTCACTGTGTCTGCTCCTTCCAAAGGCAAAACTAATAAGAGAACAAAAACTAAAGATGTGTTTTGGGTGGGAACCAAATGGAAGAGGAGGACCTGGGGGGTTTAGAGGTGAATTCCAGAAGCTTTTCCACCTGAGCCTTTAAAACTTGCTGAGAATAGTCACCTGTCAGCCCCGGCTTGACTCTGGGAGATGGTTCTCCCCTGTGCGGTGCAGAGGCCAAGTGCACCAGCCCAGGGAGAACACTCACTGCTGTTCCACCAGCCCTGGAAGCTCAGCATCTGCCCTCAGGCTCGTCCTTGGAAGTAATGTGCCTATTTCCAGGAATGAACACGTGGTCTTTACAAACCAGTAATCATGGACAGAAAGACAGATAGTCACTTCCTATCTACCTACCCTCCTCTCCTCTCTGTGGATGCAGAAAGTACAGAGGACAGAGAGACACAACAGTCTAATGCAAGACAGTTGTTGCTCCACACTTTCAAAGCTGGGGACCGTCAAAGGTTCGTGAGGACATTGTGGCTCTTTCCCCTAAGCGGCTGCGGCAGGAACAGGCAGCGAGGAAAAGAAAACCCTTTAGATGCACTTGATAAATGTGAATCCTGTGAAAGCTGACAGACCCGACTGCAGGGACTCCGGGGGGATGTAGGGGGTCCTCGGGGTCTCAGTGAGCTCCCTCCACCCGCCGCCCCGCAAAAGTCTGCCACACTTCCTGGAAGGGAGTGTGTCCGTGAATTACTGTGGACATCAGGATGCATGGGGCTGTTTCATCTGAAACTAAAAAGAGGAAAATAGCAGACGCCAACAATGTGGAGCAGTGGGGCTGAGAGAAGGCAGCCCATACCCGGTGGGCAACAATTTCCTTAACAGTTCTGCTTCTGTTCAGAAAAGCACCCAAAAGGGTGGGTTGACCCGAGACACATCCGGGCCTTTTTGATTTAGGAGTAACCCTGGAGAATTAACTTTGATCTGGGCATTATGCTCTGGCCACAAGATTCCCAGGGCTTCCCGGTCTCGGGAACATGTATCCTGAGGAGTGAAAAATATGCATTTATGTCTCCCGCCTCAGGGGAATGACACACAAATGGAATAATGTGGAAGGGTCAGACAGAAGCAGGGGAGTAAGCCGTCTGCACCAGCTACCGTGGGGTTATCTCTTTCTAGCGTCATGGCCTCAAATGTGATGGACGCACCCCAGCTAGAGCTAACTTTTCCTTCCCTTAACAATTCGCTTTAAATCTAGTATCTAGAAATGTGGCTCAACAGACATGGCAGGAACATGACCACCTCAGAAAGAATCGATGCCAAAACCATATGCGCACGCAGACAAACACACACACACAAACACACTTACACACCCCTTCTTCAAACTCAGTCTCTACCATGTGCCTTTTCAAGCCACAAAACACCACACAAGCCTTTTTTCCCTCTTTTTTTGTTATAAATGTAAGGGTGAAAATGAATCTTTAGCTGGGATTCCCCTGCCTGTGAGTGTAGCAGTGGATGGGGGTATGGGTCAATGTTGATTTTCTTTGGTTTTTTTTTTTTTTTTTTTTTTTTTTGTCACATTCCCTTAGCTCACCTGCAAAATATGGGTCAATGTTAATTTTCTTATGTTTTTTTGTCACGTTCCCTTAGCTCACCTGCAAATTGGTGTGAATAAGTGATTATCAGTGGTCAGCAGTTGCCAGAAGGCTTGCTGGCTATTTTTAAAACCTTGTTGCATCAACAATGGATCAACAAGGGTGGACAGAAGGACACCACACCCTAAACCAGTGCAGGGACTCATCTTTGACTCTCACCCTTGGAGCCCTTTGTTTTGTTCATTCTCTTTCTCAAACCCCTTACTTTCCACTCTCTGTTCATGTCCCCAGCTCTCCATGTGATCTGGGGCCATTTCTTACCAGGACCCCGGTCCTCAGTGGCCCTGTAGTATAAGGGGACACACAGGATGTACCCCACATAGGATAGTGAGGGCATGGTGAGCTCTTGGATGTGAAACAGATTTAAAGAAGAAAACATTGCCAAATACATGTAATTCTTGCTGTTACAAAATGACTTGCTTTGTCCCAGAAGGTGTCCGCTATGAGATGGTATCTCCTCAGAGAGGAATGGAACAATGGGAACCTTAGGGAAGGCGCTGGGTTGGAAAGGTGACAGAGAGGTTCAGATTGAAAGAGGGACAAGGTCAGTGTGTCTCTCTTGGGTTTACCTCTCTTTGTATACATGCTCTATCTCCACTGGGGTATGTGGGGAACACAGGGACCTCTGTGTGTCTGCTGTGTATTTGTGTGTCTGTGTGGAAATGCTTATTCCTGCACTGACAGTAGTCCCCTACCAAAGACAGGGAGGGTGATTTCCCATCTTTACCAACACCAAGGAGGTCCTCAGAGAGCCCTTGCCTGCTCCCTCCCATGACCTCCAAACAGCATTCCAGCCAGAGACAATGGGGGCCCATTTCTTCCCCGTGATCAGCAAAACACAACCAAATGCCTGTGGGAGACTCTCAGATTAACCTGGTGCCACAGCTTGCCTCTAAGTCATTTGCACACAAAGAGTTTCGAAATGTAAGTATAGTGTCTCCAAAAAGAGAAATACAGGGAGAAGTCCAGCCCCAGCCCCCCACCCCTTGGGTTTGCATCTTCCTCTGCTAGGCCGCCACCCCCATGCATCAATTATAGTCATCTTGGCCTTCACACCCCCCCAACTATAAAATATTGACAGACAGCAGAAAGAAGTGGTTTTGTTGGCAAAGACAGGAGGGAGAAGCTGGAAGGAGAGGGCAAGCCACCAGGTCATTGTCAAGGTTGACAGTGTCAGACTGTCAGAGAAACTGGAGATCCATTATGGGGGTTTCTGCCCTGGCCCCTGCTTCATTTGCTCACGACCCAACTATGGGGCATTCCACTCTCCCGAGCTTCACAAAAGCATCAGTGGACTTACCTGTGGCTGAAATCCTTTGAGGTCGCTGGCTGCAAGGTCACTGGCTGTGAGGAGCTGGAAAAGAACAAAGGAGTCTTCCTGAGTGATACTTTTCCAAGTCTGCACACAGTATCCCCAGGACCACTGATCGGCAATGGACTCACCACTGCCCAGATCTGGAGCTCGAGAAGCATAACTGTAAAAGGCAAACATGGTATTTCCGGGCTAGGAAACTAGACCCAACAGCCTTCTCACCTTGTGTCCACCACACCTCTGACTTGATCTCCCTCTGCTGCCCTCTCTCTATGCGCCACCAATTCTACGAATGGTCTTAAATTATAGGTCAAGGACTATGTGTGGACTTCAGCAGGTCCACAGGCTCCTGAAATTGTGCACGAATTTATTATGCATAACACTTCCTTAGGAAGAGGATCCCTGACTTTCTTCCTACTATCAAAGTAGTCTGTGATACCAAAGCTAAAGATACAGTTACAGACCATCTCCTTGGGAGGGCTGCTTTTTCCTCTTCCGCTCCCTCTTCCCCTCCCCTCTGCTCTGCATCCCCCTTCTTCTCCTTCTCCTCCTCCTCTTCCTTCTTCTTTTTCTTTTTTTTCCTTTTCTTCTTCTTCAATTGGACCAGTAAAAATAACCCTTCCCTTTGCCCACCTGCATGTAACTCAGTTTCCCTTCATCATATATTAACTTTGATCTTACATACTATTTAGGTGTTCACAGCTTATGCCTCAAACTGTCATGTACAATATTGGAAGATAAGAGTCAGGTTTAGATATTTTCTGGGTCTCTGTGTTTAATCAATATTAAAGGGTCAAGTTCATGTTTTGATATTTTTGCATCCTCTCCAGAAAGCACTAGATAGAAGTATACGATTAATTACTAAAATAATCACATTCTTTATTGTTGCTCAAAAATGCTGGGAAATTGTAGGATCAAGAGAAAAAGGGCAGATGCTTATTTTGATTCAAGGACTGTGACTGCTAGCTTTGTTAGGCCTGGAGAGTGTTTGTGAAAATAGGAAAGATTTCATGTTTGCTGTAACAATATTTTGTTTGGTTCAAGAAAGAGAGGGAGTCACACTGGGCTCCAGTGCCTCCAGCCTTCAGGAAAGCTCAACGGGGCTGTTCAGCTTCTTTACATCACTTTGCCAAAAATGATACAGGAAGTGGTGCTAACTCTGGCACAGAGCTGAAATGAGGTGGAGAATGTGCACGCTATACCTCTGTCCTCATACCCAGTCCTGACGGCTAGGCTCCCCAGGCTGCAGGTGCCCAGAGAAGGTGGCATTCGTCGTGACAGCCAGCCAGTCAGTTTGGCCCCTCTGTTTTTGTTACAAAACAGCCAAGCAACAAGCCATGAGGGCACTTGACTAGTCACTGAGTGCCAAACTGAATCGTAAGAGTGTCTCCGCCTTTAAGGAACCTGCAGTTGCATCAATGGACTAGATGCATGTATGTCAGTGCGAGCAGAGGGTAGGAGTAGAGTGGAAGCATCAAACCGTGGCATGCACAAAGCAAGAGAGGTCGGGGAGTGAGGGTGGGGGTGCCGCGGAAAGAAGATGAGTTTGAACTGAGTCTTGCAAATGGAAAGGCAGCAGGATAAGGCAGTTCAGGTGAGGCAGCTATAGAATCAAGACAGACAAGGGATGTGCCCGTCCTGACCGAGCTCCCCTGGCATCAGCCACAGCACGCGTTAAGGAGGAAATTAGGAGACACTGAGGGTCAAGGATGGCGGCGGTGTCCAGCAGAGTGGTTGCTGTTTCCCATGGTTTCTCTTTTTTAACCTAACAACTGCCACATGAGATAGACAGCAGCTCCACTTTATGGATGGGAAAACTGAGACTTTGTGGAGGATAAATAGCATTTTCTAGGTCACGCAGGTAGTACTTGTATTTGGGATTTAAATCCAAAACTGTATTTTCCCAAAGCTCATCCTCTCTCTTCTATGCAACGATGCCTCTCGATGATGGCATGCTGGAGATAATTTGTTGGGGTGCCGTGTGTAGCAAAAAAGGGTGAGTGCTACTTTCTTAGTCAATGAGCCCCAGGTAGTAACATAAAGCATGCTGCTATGAATGACCATTATTGGACCCTTCTTCCAGGCATTATTTCATTTCACTGGCAATGACCGTCTACTCTTCAGATCTTGACAATGCCGTCTATGCCTCTAACTTGAGCTGAACAAAGGTACGGATGGAGTGGAGAGGAGGAACAGAAAAGTCAGAGGGGGGTTTGAGCATGGGAGTGACCTTTGCAAGGGCAGAGCCACCAACATGTGTTAGCATATAGGACCAAATGTCGAATTCTCCAGGCCTTGGGAATCCAGCAGGCAGGCATCTTTCTCCCCGCCCCCACCGCCCCCCCCCCCTCAACAGAGTTCACCAGATAGAGAGAAGGTGTGAGACAGAACATCTACTTCCTCCTAGTTCTGAGACGCTTCATCTGGAAATCAACCACAAGCATGTTCAAGGCATCTCAACATATGCACTTTTCCCTCGTGTCAGCGGTTTTGGGATTGAGAACTTGCCAGATCCATCTGTCTGGATATAGAGACATGGCATCTCTGGTTATTACTTGTTACGTCCCTAGCTCAACAAAATTGGGATCTGTCTATCCTACCTTCCTAGAAGCCTTATAACCTCTTCCCTTCTCTTAAAGGAAACCAGATGCATGCAATTTACTTCTTAATGATATAAGGGGTCTGTTTTGTGCGGTCATGTGTATTTTTTTATTTCTTCACCTAACAAGATCATGCCCAACAAGACCGTGATTTATATCGTATGTAACTTCTGCATTCCTCAAAGGGATGAGGAGTCCAGACAGGTGATTAGGCAATAAATACCTGTTGGCCAAATGACTTAAAAGGAAAGCGGGGAATATTGTCAACCCAGAGGTGAGAGCGAGAATGGCCCAGTTGCTGAGCCTGGAGAGCAGAAGTGTGAGAGAGGGCTTGTGACACCCTTCAAGTCGACAAGAGGAAATGGCACTCAGTATCTAGAGCATTTCCTGTATGAAGTAGGCACTCAGATAATTTGAATGAATTAATTAACTTACACGATGAGAGCAAGCTCTTCTCTTGCCGCTGTATTTATGCGTGACTATTGGTGTATACTTCAGCGTAGGTGTCAAAGGTTAAATTGAAGGAAAGACAGGATGAAAGAGGAAGAGGTTGAGCAGTGAAACAATCCACTACCACAGAGAGAGGGGGAGCTCCCCTTCCTGAGGATGAAACAGTACAATGGGCCCAGGGCGGTTTAGATGTGTTAGCTTAGCCAAGGTGGGTTTAGGGAAGGCGGTGACTAGCTGTCAGGTGTGGTTATCAGGTAACTTCTAGAACTCTTGAATTTCTTACCTTGGGAGATTCTGAACTACTTCCCTCACATTCTAGCATACACTTCAGGTGTTATCTGACCTGGGAAAGAGCCAGAGCCAAAGGCAAACCTCGTGACCTCCTCCTTCAAGGGTTCCTGAATGAGGGTGTGTAGAAGTCGGCTTCTCCCCAGCACCCAGTGAGGACCCCCTGCCGGCCTGGCTCCTGGCTTCTACCTTTGCTCTAACCAAACATATGAGCTCTTGGGCCAAACACCGACCTTGCTCCTTGACCGCTCCCCTTTACACAGCTGATTATTTCCTAAACGTCTACACCTTCTGCACCCAGGAAGGGGAGAGGGCTGGCCCTTGGCACTGAAGGACCGTGCTCAGATGGGGCTTAGAAATACAGGACGGGAAGTCCTCCTGTATTCTGCAATCACAGCCCACCTAGATCTGGACCCCCAAAGAGTTTCAGGACCTGAAGGAGACAGTTGGAGTTCTCTGGGTGGATGAGAAAAACCACCGTGTCCCCAGCGCGGTCAGGAGCCACCTCTCCCCGGGAACTGGAGCGAGGGCAGGTCGTCGAGCCAGAGAGCCCCCACCATGTCCACCTTTTCCTCCCTTCAACCGCGGCCGCTCTGCTCTTTCACATACACAAATTAATTTGGAGTCAAACGTTCTGTCCCAAGAACAAATTTAAACCTTCTGGACTAAGTTCTTATTTTACAGAAGTTGATAAGCGACTTCTCAAGATCCCACGGCTAGTTAACCTCGTCATCCCCGGTTGAGGCCTCTAACCTCCAGTCCCTCTGCAGGAACCCCTAACCCCAGACAGAGGGGGCTACCAGCCTGCCCCCATGCTGAAAGTGAGATAACATGTGCGCACAGTACAGGGGAAACTGAGGCCTGGGCAAGAAGACACGAGTGTGTCTCTCCACAAAGCCACTGCCCTGAAAAGCGCTGATCCCAGACCCTCCCCAAATCATCCCCCTCCTCGGAGATGGCCTCATTCTGTCCCCCTGGAGAAATGCTCCCTGCCCAGAGCAGTCAGGCTGTGCAGGGAGCAATCCATGACAGGAAGGCAGAGAGGGAGGAAAATGCAATCGGCATGGCTCTGGGGACTTCAATCAGGCTGAAGTTAATGAAAAGGATCCTGCCTTTTCCCAGGACTGCTAAATGTCTGCACCGCTCCCAGCGAGAGGGTTGAGCGGGTGCTGGGGGAGAAGGGCAGACAGAATTACATTTAAAAGGCAAAGGAAAGAGAAAATTCTTTCATCTCCCTGGTGGAGTGGGCAGTGTTCCTGGGGCCCTGTCTCAGACCATTCTCATTCCTGACACGTCTTGCTGTTCTCTGGAACCGTCCACATTCAAAATATTAGGATGATGACCCTGCTTTCCATTTTTGAGGAGCTGCAATTTCTCTCTTGGCACAGTTGTTGTGGTTTGGTTGTTTGTTTGTTTGTTTGTTTGTTTTTGGTCTCTCCAAGCCTAAGGGGTGGGGGTTAGGGAGCAGAGAGGAGGACCAAGGAAGCTGTAGGGCCCTAAGAAGGCAAGAGTCTCTTCACCTCCTGCTTCCATCACCCAGCTCTCTGCATGGGGGGGGGGTCTCCCTTTGCTTCCCTCACCATCCATCTAGCTGCAGCCAGCACCATCTTTGTGCCCTCTAGGACCGCCCCTCAAGCAGCTGCCCTTCCCCCAGCTAACTTCTACAGCATCCAAAGCTTCCCTCAGAGGAGGATAGGAGGCAGC